ATCATTATTATGAGAGTTCATAAAGTTTGAATCAATACGATTAATTCCTCCTGAGTTACAGCGCCTTGAAAAATAAAAGTCACTCCATGAATATTATTTTCGAACAATTTCAGAAAGTGTTATACACAAAATTTAGTTAAAAATTCTTGGTTAATTAAGGTTAAGACGGAACTTCATATCTGAGATAAACAAGAATCTAAACATTTTGGCTGAAACTCACCTTTATTTTCATGTATTGATTTTTGGATACCAATCAAGCATTTATCCAAAAATCAAGTGCTAAAATAAAGGCGAGTTCAGGCCAAAATGTTTAAATTCTTGTTTATATTAGGTAAGAAGCCCCATCTTAACCTTAACCTTAACCAAGAATTTTTAACTAAATTTTGTATATATTAACAGTTTCTGACGGCGCTCGAAAATAATGCTCACTTTTTGCTGTAACTCAGAAGGAATTAATCACATTGATTCACAATCTATGGTGAACACTCGTAATCATGATATAAACAACATATGAAACGTCCAGTACTGTAACTGAATTCCTGGGAATTGGACGGAAACATTCTTAAAGCCCTTTGGTAATTTCTGAGACATGTACTCATTCTATAGTGTATACCTGTCTCACAAGATTTGCCAGCGTAGTTTGGAGGGCACTGACACTCGAAACTTCCTTCCTTTTCCACACATTTTCCTCGTTGACACGGACCACTGGAACAATGGTAGGCTTTAGTTCGGCATTTTTGTCCCGTCCACCCTGACTCACAGTGACAGACATAGCCGTTCACTAAATCTTCGCATCTAAAAGCGATGAAAGAATGCTTAAATAAAATAATTGTTGGATTTTAGATGGGAACCTAACCAGGAACAATAGCGACAAATAAATACATACTAATATATATATATATATATATATATATATATATATATATATATATATATATATATATATATATATATATATATATAAGACAAACTTGAGTTACTTCGTTTAAAACATTTATTCACGACAAATTTGTTTCGTATGGCAAACTAAGCTTGCCACACTCATCAGGTGAATGATGATATCGCGTATTTACATGATGTTATAACCTATAGGTAACTTGAGCTATTATATAAAAATGTTTGACGTCATTTGGAAAGCATAAAAATTTTAAAGAAATGTAAGGCCTACTCAAACAAAGCAAAACGTTGTAAATTATGCCTGCATGAAAAGTTTGTTATAATTTTCTATCCCAAATTAAGCTCTTTGAACTCAAGAAACGAACTGATATCCGCATGTAGGCACAGGAAAAAATTCCTGCTCTGCAGCCAATAGCTCAGGTTACAAACATAGGTTTACGCTTTCCAAATGATGTCAAACATTTTTATATAATAGCTCAAGTTACCTATAGGTAATAACATCATGTAAATACGCGATATCATCATTCACCTGATGAGTGTGGCAAGCTTAGTTTGCCATACGAAACAAATTTGTCGTGAATAAATGTTTTAAATGAAGTAACTCAAGTTTGTCTTTTATATATATATATATATATATTAATTGTGTAATTGTACACTCTGTAATATGTTAAGATGAAAATGGTCTAGAGTGTGTATTATATAATAGTAATATAGTAATTCGAAGGTCGCGGGTTCAAGACCCAGCCGCGGCAGACAACATCTTCCTGCTTGCGCTGGGTATGGAAATTATATAATACACACTCTAGACCATTTTCATCTTAATATATATATATATATATATATATATATATATATATATATATATATATATATATATATATATATATATATATATATATATATATATATATATACAACGATTGAAGACATGTATTTAAAGTCTTGAGAGCCAACGGTTACCCACTTAAGTTCATAAAGTCTTACGACATCAACAGGAAACGCAGTCATACTGATAACACCAACGGTAATTTGCATACCACTGATGTCAACAACAACAGGACAAACCCCGCTGATTGTATCGCTCCTAGCTTTGTAGTCTTACCGTATGTTAAAGGCGTTGCAGAAAAGATCTCCCGAGTATTAAGGAGAGAAAATGTCAAAGTGTGCTACAAACCTACCAGTACCCTTTCCCACCAATTCCCCAAACCCAAAGACAAGTTACCACTCGAGCAGACAAGCGGAGTCATTTACAAAATCTGTTGCTGCGATTGTGACTTTGCATATTACGGCCAAACAGACAGAGCATTAAAAACTAGAATAAAAGAACACGAACGAGCTGTTTCGCAATTTGATCAATATTCAAAAATCGCTAAGCATGCTGAACAATACGATCACCGAATTGATTTCAGTAATGCCACCATTGTCAACAAAACAAAAAACTACCGCGAACGTCTGTTCTTAGAGGCCTGGCATTCCCTCAAGGATCATAACGCAGGAAACGACCATATCGAAATACCGGATGTGTATAAAACACTTATCTGCTAATTAACTCTGAACCTATATATATTGTTCAGTTTTGAACCTAGTTAACTTTTTAACTGACGAAGACCTAAGTCACTGGTCGAAACGTCTTAACATCTTTTTAAATAAACGTAGTTTTTAACGTTTTTATCAAACCAGCGTCAACCTTTCTACATCTTAATAATATATATATGTATATATATATATATATATATATATATATATATATATATATATATATATATATATATATATATATATATATATATATATATATATATATATATATATATATATATATATATATATATATATATATATATATATATATATATATATATATATATATATATATATATATATATAGCTTAAGATTTTGGTTTACGAAACACAAACAGTGCTCAATACCATATAGATCGGAGCGTAATATAGTTTTTCGTTTTACCTCAAAAAACCACAACAGTCTGTTTCATCCGTATAGGAATCACCTGATGATTCACCTGATGATTCCTATGACCACCTGATGATTCCTATACGGATGAAACAGACTCCAGACCACCTGATGATTCCTATACGGATGAAACAGATTCCAGACCACCTGATGATTCCTATACGGATGAAACAGACTGTTGTGGTTTTTGAGGTAAAACGAAAAACTATATATATATATATATATATATATATATATATATATATATATATATATATATATATATATATATATATATATATATATGTATATACAAATTGGTTTTCTCCTTCTGCCGTATAGTGCTCTACACCAAAGTGGAGCTAAGTTAAAATTAAAAATTAAAGATTAAATTTTAGATTAAAGATTAAAGATTTATATATGTATATATATATATATATATATTTGACTTTCAAGATTGCATGGAAAGAAAGAAATTCGTTTATGTCATAGTTAACAAAATAAATTACATAACGTTCCCAACTTGACCTCATAGCTCAGAAGGTAGAGCGTCGTTCTAGAAATGCGAAGGTCGCGGGTTCGATTCCCAGCCGTGGTCAAGTAGAATTAATTTTGTGCTTGCCTGGCTCATACTCGTAACAAGATCAAAATACCCACACATTATATCACGAGTAGAATCTCAGAGAAAAAAATCGTATACAACATTCGCTGGATTAATAGCTGGCACCAGGCATGGAAATGAAGAAATTCGTTCATGTCATTAACATCACAAATAAATTACATATCGTTTCCAACTTGACCCTAGTAGCTCAGAAAGTAGAGCGTCGTTCTAGAAATGCGAAGGTCGCGGGTTCGATTCCCATGCATTGGTTCCTCTTGCATGCATTTCATTTCCGTTTCCGATCAGCTGATTTTCTGGCCACAAAACAGAAACGATTTAGTACTTTGCTTGCGTTAGGAGAAATTGGAAATTCATCAGAAAGAAATGACGTGATCAATCGAGTAACTGAACACTTAACTTGTGCTCTCTTATGCAACTTCTCGTGTGCTCACTAACTCGAATGAGCATGCCAAATCATGAAAAAGCTCTTACATTTGAAATCCTTGAAAGCTTTAACATACGGTTCAAACGGCAACACCAAAAATTTTCCAACAACGACTTACTAATGTCGATGTATAAGTAAATATAACTAATCAGTACACGTTAACTTCCTATGTACCGTATATAGTTATGCTAAATATTTAATGCTCAAAAATTAATTTTTGAGTTTTCCTGTGGAAAGCTTCTGTAAGCAGTTAATTTTTTAATGCCAAAATTCATAATAAAAAAGCCGCAAAGACGCGTGTATATGCCATAAAACCTACAAGGCAGGAATTATTTGTATTATATTTACGCTGGGGAATTTCAAATTCAGGACTCAATGGTCACGTATACATTTTTTAACCTATTACTTTACCTATCTTACCCAATACCCTTTGGGGCTGTCCACAAATACCGTCATAATTATGATTTGAGCATGATTTATTTTGATTAGCACTAACAAGAAACATTTTGACAGGATGGAAATTCCAGTTGTTGGTATAACATAACATAACGGAAAACATAGCCGAGAAACATAACGGAAAACATAGCCAGGCCTTTGTTAAATGCCAGCATCGTTTCTGGCTTCGCGTGTAAAGCTGATAACGCCATGGCTGCATGAGGTAGCGCATTTTAAGTAAGATTGAGTGCACATGGTTCTACATGATGCGTCAGTCATGTTTTGCTATATTACTTCTGTTTCTCGGTTAAATGCAACTATTTTTTCTCAAAGCTGTTGTTTTCTCGAATGAGAAACCAATACTTGTGATATGTGAAACTATGAGGGAAGACGTAAAACAATAATTTCATAATGGTTTCACATGGTTGCAAGTTGTAAATACCATGCATGCACTTGGAATATTTCAACCTATAGGAGTCTATTTACCCTTAAGATGTAGCCTAAATTTATCGCTTTAAATATATGTATCTATACATCAATACCAGTATTTGACAGTTAACATTCATACAACGTCTACATGAGTAATCCACACTTCACCGCTTGCGAATAATCGCTAGATAAAAAATCAGATATACGTAACAGGTATAGCTTAAATACTGCTTTAACCTTACCTCTTTTGTAAACAGATATATTTGTTTAAAATGTGTACTTGTAGTGGATTCTTGAACTTCCTTCGGCCAGATGAGACCAGATTGAAATGCTTTCTACGAACGTAAATGAATAGGTGTGAATAATCGCTAGATAAAAAATCAGATATAGGTAATAGGTATAGCTTAAATACTGCTTTAACCTTACCTCTTTTGTAAACAGATATATTTGTTTAAAATGTGTACTTGTAGTGGATTCTTGAACTTCCTTCGGCCAGATGAGACCAGATTGAAATGCTTTCTACGAACGTAAATGAATAGGTGTGAATAATCGCTAGATAAAAAATCAGATATAGGTAATAGGTATAGCTTAAATACTGCTTTAACCTTACCTCTTTTGTAAACAGATATATTTGTTTAAAATGTGTACTTGTAGTGGATTCTTGAACTTCCTTCGGCCAGATGAGACCAGATTGAAATGCTTTCTACGAACGTAAATGAATAGGTGTGAATAATCGCTAGATAAAAAATCAGATATAGGTAATAGGTATAGCTTAAATACTGCTTTAACCTTACCTCTTTTGTAAACAGATATATTTGTTTAAAATGTGTACTTGTAGTGGATTCTTGAACTTCCTTCGGCCAGATGAGACCAGATTGAAATGCTTTCTACGAACGTAAATGAATAGGTGTGAATAATCGCTAGATAAAAAATCAGATATAGGTAATAGGTATAGCTTAAATACTGCTTTAACCTTACCTCTTTTGTAAACAGATATATTTGTTTAAAATGTGTACTTGTAGTGGATTCTTGAACTTCCTTCGGCCAGATGAGACCAGATTGAAATGCTTTCTACGAACGTAAATGAATAGGTGTTCCGATAGGTTGAATACAACAATGAAACGTAAGCATCAAATTTTCTACGAGTCACGAACACGAACATTAGCTAGCCGTAATGAGATGCGAAGATAAAATAAGACTATTTACCTTATAGTCATAATAGAAATTATAAAATCACTGGCATATATCATGTGCGTGGGTGTTTAATATAGCGTTAGAAGATGAGAACAACAATCTGGCACTCGATCATTCCTCCGAGTTCCATGTGAAAAGCAAATGGGAAACGAAAATAAAAACACCTAAATTTCAACATAATGGCAAACACGGCGCTTGAAGATCCGAATATTGTCGGGAATATGAACATTCATGTCGTAAATAAATGGCAGTGGTCAATTATCCCACGCCTTAATTGAAGAAGAAGACGGGAAGTGGTTATTATTGTGCATATTCGCTAAGCGTATTTTTATATTCTGTCATACGAATCTGAAGACTGTTCTGTAAATTATTAATCATGAGTGCGTTTGGATTTCAGTCGATATCTTAACCAAGAGTTTTATTGAAATTTGAGGTGAAGTCGAGCTAAGTAACTTTATTAAATGGCAAGAAGTCGTGGCAGCTGCTATAATTTCAGAATAATGTGCGTGGGTGAGGTTTGTCAAGAATATACTTTCCGGTCCGTAACTCAGGATTCGTAACGTAACTGGAACCTTCTGATTGGCTGATCAGACGTGGCACGATATTTTGGCAAACATATTTGAAGCCATTTGTCGTATGACGATTTTTACTTGGCAAACAATTTCGTTCGCCATATATATTTATAAAAAAAAATTAGACGGATTGAGTCTAGAAATCTCTAATGACGTCTTTAATTTAATGTTTAATTTTATCTGCCATCTAAGGTATTTTTTGAAATGTTGTATTTGAGTATATCTTTTTCGAATTTCGGTCGGAGTAAAGTATACATTTCCTGCTTGACAAGAACTCCGTTAAATTTAATATATACCTGTCTGCTTTAATATATAATGTCAGCTCTGGAGGGAATATTTTCCCGGAGTTTTGGTGTTTTCGGCCAAGACAAAGTAGACCGTAGACGGAAACATTAAGGTTCGAGGGAAAACTAACTATTTCCCGAGGGAACAGGTTCGACGGAAAAACTGAAGAATTGTAAACGTTGTATTTTATAGGCCCATGCAAGCGTTGTGTTTACGACTAGGCTGCGTTTTAAAACGACATTTTTCACCGATAGTTATTATCGTAAAATGATCAGGAAAATCAACAATTTTAATCTATTTATATATACATTCTCTTTTGTCTTGTTATGCAGTGCCAGTGTAGATTGGATCAAAACCAAGCCTATTTTTGCCTTATTTCTTAACAGTTTGTCAACCGTGTTTTGGCTATATGCCGCACGAATAATTCACAAACATAGAGTTCGCAACAACGCGAAATTTTTTAGGATTTAATTATTCACATGAAGAAAAAATAGATACGTTGTTTAATTATCGTTTAAGGTCGGTCCGCACCTGAAGAATATTTCCCTCTGTTATACAACGGTCTCAGGCCACTTAAGCCTATAGTTTCCATTTGATCGTTAGTTGTCGCTGGCACGACAAGTGGCTGATGTAATAGAGTGTCAACAAAACTTTACAAAACTCTGCAATCATTAAGACTGATTTGCATATAACACACACAAAGATTATTATTATATTAGACTATTTCACATCTACCGCTTGTCGTGCCAGCGACAACTAACGACCAAATGGAAACTAGGCTTAAGTCCTCGGGTTACCTAATTAGCTATAACTAAATTGACAAAATTGTATTTCACTATAGCTGCAACAGTGCAACCATATGTGTCCATACTGACCATACAGACTCATACAATCTGACATTTTCCCTAATGTAACTGAAAAAAATTAGTCTGTTGTTAAACTTGCTAAATGCACTGCCGTTTCAATTCCTGACGAAGGACGAGAGAGTTGCTCAAATACAACAACAAGTCAACAACGTCAATGAGAACGTGTTCATCAACAATAGCATTTTGCTCTAAGACAAAAGTGACTATAATTTGCATTCCCTTGAGTATTCTAGATCTCTAGTGCGAAGCTCTACTGATAGTTTAAATCTGTATCCAGTACACCGTCTCCGTACTTCATTATTTAGAGACTCCTTCTTCAATCGTGTTGTACAACACCTAAATTTTAACATAATGGAAAAAACGGCGCCTGAAGATCAGAATATTGCCGGGAATATGAACATTCATGCCTGCAAGCAAGCGGCAGTGGTCAATTATCCCACGCCCAACTGAAGAAAAAGACGGGAAGTGGTTAATATTGTGCAAATTCGCTAAGCGTATTTTTATATTCTGTCATGAGAATCTGAAGATTTCTCTGTATAATATTCAATCATGTGGGCATTAGGATTTCAGTCGAGATATCTTAACCAAGAGTTTTATCGAAAGTTGAGGTGAAATTGATCTAGGCAACTTTATTAAATGGCAAGAAGTCGTGTCAGCTGGTGTAATTTCAAGATAATACGCGTGGGTGAAGTTTGTCAAGAATATATATTTGTCCGTAACTCAGGATTCGTATAACGTACCTGGAGCCTTCTGATTGGCAGACCAGAGGTGGAACGATATTTTGATCACCATATTTGAAGCCATTTGTGATGTCCGTATGACGATTTTTACTTGGCAAAAAATTTCGTTTGTTATATACATTTATAAAAAAATTCAAACGGATTGAGTTTAGAAATCTTTAATGAAGCCTTTAATGTTTAAAGGGGAAGGAAGAAGAAAAGAAGGAAGTTCACATTTCGGCCTTCGATTCTTGGCAAAAATTTGACCACAACACGTGCGAAGCAACTGGGTCTCAAAGACTCAGCTAAAACATTGTGAGCCCCTATATTTTCCTGACGATATGTTTGATACCTACAAACGCCGAAAAGTTTTTTTCTTTTCATTTAGCTATACTTGAAATTGAGGCCACGGGCTATTTTTGAGAAAATACAGTTCAAAGTCAAGCTATTTTTACATATTTTCAAAATTTGTCCAATTTCGCGAGCTTGTATTTTGAACTTAGACAGCTGAAGTTACATTAAGAAACATAAGATGGAAAATTTGAGGCATATAAATTTAACGTCAACTTACATTTCATTCTCATATCACGTCTTTCTTCGTTTATTACGGTTTTAAACAAGCCACAGATCGACGTATACGGTGTTTACTCCCATGTTCACGTCGCCATATTAACTTCTTCCAATCACACTCGATTACAAAACAAATCATCCCAAAATAAAGAATTCATGGTCGACTTTTAAAAAAATAACCGTTAATTTGTAAATCGTTGAATGGAAAGCAACAAATCGTCAGCTAAAACAGCTTCTTGCTAACTGTCTGCTTTGTTTTGAATGTAAATGCAATGAGCTTTGTTTATGTCCGCGATTTTTTGGTCAGCGCGACGACAAATTTCCCACCTGTTATGTAGGCCTAATAGAGAGTTTTAGTTTGACGTTTACTGCAAACGTCAAACCGCTAACGAAGTTTTTGATTTTACAAGTCTATTATAACAGCTTTTACACCAGTTTTTAAATATAAACAATTATTAAATTTGTGCTCTTTAGCAATGATTTAAAAGAAAGCAAATTAACCACTAGTCACGTATTCGCGAAAGCAGTAAATTATGATTTGGCGTTTGAAGTTTACGTTTGGCGTATAAATTTCATGCTTTAACTGCTATGAGGGCTTGTATAGTCGTTAAAGCATGAAATTTATACGCCAAACGTAAACTTCAAACGCCAAATCATAATTTACTGCTTTCGCGAATACGTGACTAGTGGTTAATTTGCTTTCTTTTAAATCATTGCTAAAGAGCACAAATTTAATAATTGTTTATATTTAAAAACTGGTGTAAAAGCTGTTATAATAGACTTGTAAAATCAAAAACTTCTTTAGCGGTTTGACGTTTGCCGTAAACGTCAATCTAAAACTCTCTAATTGTCTGCACTGGAGGGAACATTTTCCCGAGAGTTTTGGTGTTTCCGGCCGAGACAAAGTCGACGGAAACATTATAAGGTTTCAGAGGAAACTGAAAACTAACTATTTCCCGAGGGAACAGCTCAATGGAAAAACTGAAAAATTGTAAACGTTATATTCTCGGCCAATGCAAAGCAAGTGTTGTGTTTTCGACCAGGCTGCGTGTTAAAACGACATTTTTCACATAGTTATTATCGTAAAATTATGCACATGCATGCATGCATGAAGGAAAAATAAATACGTTATTTACCGTTTAAGGTCGATCCGTATCTGAAGAATATTTCCCTCTGTCTTTGAACTGTCACTTGACGGTCGGTCTCAAACCACTCAGTCCTCGGGTTACCTAATTAGCTGACTAAATTGACAAAATTGTATTCGTATAGCATAAGGAAACACAGCTTGCAAATTTCACTAATAACTGCATCCATAATTATGTGCCAATACAGTCTGACATTTTCCCTAATATAACTGAAAAAATTAGTCTCTTGTTAAACTTGCTAAATGCACTGTCGTTTCAATTCCTGACGAAGGACGAGAGATACAACAGCAAGTCAACAACGTCAATGAGAACGTATTCGTCAACAATAGCATTTTGCTATAAGACAAAGGCGACTATAATTTGCATCCCTCAAATATTCTAGATTTCTAGTACGCCATAGTTGTTCAAACTACTGCGCCATTAGTAAGAGTAGAACGTTCAATTCGTTTGGCCGGTTGTTTTAAGTGAATTTACTTAGGCTACTGTTGCTACTCCTGGGGATTCCAAGGTTGTTTAAAAGAAAGGCCGTGCTTTCAAAAGTATAAGTAAGTATAGCTATACAATTATACTGTATATGGCACCAGAGAAATGTATATTATATTATATTATATGGCATGACCTGTCCAGTGAAATGTCGCGGAATTTACATTATCACGAAAAAAATGTCGCCGTTTCGTAGCCATTCCGCAGTCATTCAGTATTCCATTCCGCAGTCATTCAGTATTCCATTCCGCATGCCATTCCGCCTTTTATATTCACGCTGTGCGTGTACTTGAAGTAATGTACTAATTATTTGCTTTGAAATAACAATCTGAAATATTTTAAAAGAAATTGTAAAATTAACACAATTGTTAGGAAGTGTGCACAAATAAATGTCTCGAAATATCAAACTCCCTGTGGAGTTATGACTGCAAAAAATGTCTTTGAACGGAACATCATTGACAAAATTAAAGTAATGTCTCATAAAATACTTTTCCACGGCCACACAAGGTCAAAACTTCCATAAATTTGCATTGACCTGAAATAATGCACTAATCACTGAATAAAATCGCAAGTTGATCGTCCTAAGATTAACTTAATTGACTGTATATATGTATATATGTGATAAGTATATATAAAAAGATTGTGGCCTTTCCAAACCTTAAACTCTAAACCTTAAACTCTAAGCGTGCAAAGCTTAATGGGAGCACAAGTTTCAAGCTCACTAGTTGAATATTGCAACTATTTGTAAATGAATTGTTCTCGTAAGGAGATATTTACCATATCTCTAAGAAATGGGCCCCACATATGATTTCTAAACTGATTAAATGATGCTCCCATTATGCTTTGCACGCACATATGTATATATGTATGTGTATCATCAGGTTGTGAGTAATTTCGAAACTATAGGTTGCTTACGAAAATATCGATAGCATAAAAACAGCCTATATTTTCGATATTCTCACCACCTGATGATTCCTATACGGATGAAACATACTTATGACAAATTTAACATGTGAAAAAATTTCACATGAAATCACATGTGAAATTTTACAAATGAAAGGATTTCACATGAAATCACATGTGACATTTCACATGTGAAAGGATTTTACATGAAATCATGCATGTGACATTTCACATGTGTATTACACAAAGTACAATTTCTTACGCTGAATCGAACGGTGGTATTTTTATCCGTATTGCGCCATTAGGCATTACAAATACAAAGACAAACGTCCTATATACGTACTGCGAGCGATTTGTCGACAATACAATTTCACTTGATTTTCAAAGGCCATAAATCGCCAGAACACTGTTGTTTAGTAATACATTTGACATCCGTAAATGCGATTTCTTACGCTGAATCGAACGGTGGTATTTTTATCCTTATTGCGCCATTGTACATTAGGTGTCATCACTGTCATTAGACATTACAATATCATATTTCACACTACAGTTTTCACGTTCCACAGCTAACTATTAGGGACTGTTGCTGCATAAATTTTATATTGATATGACACCAATATGCTTGTTATAAAGTAGTTATCTATTAAAACTACGTTGTGTAGTTTAGGTTATAACGTTTTACCTTGCAATTGTCTTTGGCTCGTTTATAATCAGATTCAGTATATTTAATATGATCGTGCACGGGAATTCAAAGATCCAAATTTCGGATTTTCAGAGTCGTGTACCAAGAAAAATGCATTAACTAAACTAGCAAAAATGTCCAGAGTTAGACACAATGCAAAATCCATAGAAAATCGGTACAATTCGTTGAAAATTTTAACGAAATTGTTTGAAACATTTTGCCCACTTACGAAAGGCCGCCATTTTGAAAAGGATAATTAGGCAGCTCATTAATGCGGGCACGATGTAAACAATCGATGTAAAGTAACCGCTGATTGGCTTAAATATATCATGAATTGGCTCAATTAATTATATAAGCTCTTCGCTGAATGGCTATGTGTTAACATACGGTACGTTTGCGATGGCAATATATCTGCTTCGCAGATACAAAAATCACATTATTTTGTTCGCTTCACGTGATCAGGATAATTTTTGGTTTAGGCTAATGCCTAGGCAGGAAATAATAAAATATTTAAGTTTCAAGAAGTTAGAATAAAAGCACGAGATGAAAGTGAGATATCAAAAAGCTCAAATATAACTTGCGTAATTAACGTTTTAAGTACTGTTTAATAAACGAGCAGGAGTGTTTTATTAGGTTTAAAGTCACGAGCGCGCAGCGCGAGTGGCTTTAGAGCTAATAAAACAAACCTGCGAGTTTATTAAACGGGGTAAAGTTCACATTTCAGCTGATCATATTTATTTCATTGGAGGCTTGTATATAGTATATAGTCAACTAGGTAATTGATAGTACTGCTATTATGTAGACCAGTGCAAGTTCATTGCTTTTGACTGACAATAGCATGTGCAGTGAAACTGACATAGATTGAGGTTTTCGTAACATGTGGTATCAGTATATGTAGATATTTTTCACGATCATCTGCAAACGGTTTGTCATGTTGGGGTGGGGTGTGTCTCCTTTATCCCAAGGAGACTTGTGGCGTTAGTAATGCCCCCACCTTTTCTGTGCTAAATGTTATATAGTTATTAGTTAATATTTTTTCATTTTTTTCATTTTTATCGGAAAATTAGTAGGCAAATGAGTTTTCTATTTTTTTGGGCCGTTATCGTGTTAATTTTTGTGCGACAAATCATTGTTTGTCGAGAATAATCAAACAGTTATTGAATTCGGTTTTGTGATATATTGTTTTATTTGTTTTAAATACTTTATTGGATAGTGACTAAACGGTAGGAGTGCGATCGGGACTCGAGGTCCCTTGCGAGGCACTCCTCGGATTATCAAGGCCTTAGTAATATAGTGTTAAGATAACAAATATATTGACCTTGATAATTCTGGATATCACAGAAGTCTCATCCAATAACAATTTATCATATTGTCCGAAACATTTAAGTATTCATGTAAATACACTATTATTTATTTTAAAAGCATGTTTTGCCGTTTGAAAATTCAGTATAATCGTGGTATGTTTTCATTTATTTAGATAAATCCAAATTAAATCGTCTCAAGAGATTAATATGTAGCGGTAATGGTTCCATAAAGCCCATTTTCCAATAGGCAAAGTTGTTCGCGCGACAATAAAAAAGTAGGAACCAATCCAACTTTTTCATGGCGAACTTGCTACATTGCCAAGATTTGTTTTTCGCTTCGCTTTGCGTGAACAAATTCGCCGAGTGAAAAATAGGCTTCATTTTTCTATTTTAACGACGGTTTGGATTATTTTAGTTGAAAAATTGTTGTCAATACTCCATTTTGGCGCAGACGGCATTGCTAATGTTCCGTTCAGAACTCGGAATAGTCAAATCAGAACTACTCGTCAGCCTATCAGATTTTAGACCGGAATAACTATGACACCAGAAGGGAAAAGCACAATAGTGTCAACGTACCTTTCTTTAGATTTAGTAAGGGACTCGTGCCTTCTTTTCTCTTCGATGCCAAAGAGCTTTTTAACTGAGGACTGGCTTGAGTAGTCGGAGGTGCCACTGGCGCTACTTGCTGGACAGGTCGCTTGGTTACCATCTTCTTAAAGCTGCAATATATATATATGGTACACATGAAATCCTGTGTGACAAATCTTTCTCATGTATGTAGCAAGGTAAACTAACAAAACTTTTTGTTAGTTTTAGAACGTTAATGAACAGAATATCTCTAGAATACTAAATAGCTTAAAAATATCAGTTCCATGCATGGAAATGCATGGGTAAAGCGTATGTGTTACAATATGGAGTCGAATTCTGGATTGTGTGGATAATTAGAAAGTGGATAGTGCGCTTTTTGCTGAAGGATATGACAAGGATTGAAAAGATTAAAAGCAAATATGGTAAACACGCATTACAGCCGGGAGGTGAATGAAGTATGGCTAGAAAGGAAGGGCATTCAATTTTTTAGTTGGAAATCTTCACAGGGAACAAAGAGCAGTGTAGATCGAAAAAGACATTGTTGAGCTGTTTAAAATTTGAAAAATAAAAAAATTGCCGTATGTGGACAGGAGAATGAGCCGACCCCTGGGTCAAGCAGTCTTCGACTTGAATTGTGTAAAAGAAGAAGTTCATTTCCTTGCCCTTGTTCATAGATTAATAAAAAAAATTCGACTGGAACATGAAATATCCACATATGGGAATTAAAAGTGTAATAGTATATAATATTATTTAAAACAAACCTTGCTTCTCTGTTGCTCATCATATCAGTGACTTCACTGATACGTGCCAAAGTCAATCTGGTTCTAACAGTCCTTCGTCCCAAGTTCCTTCGCTGTCTTTTCCATTCTGTTCAGTTTCCCCAAGTTTACTCCTTGAGGTTTAATTTCTTTAAAAATTGGTCAATTTCCTTTAGCCCTTTTTCAGCTCCCTCTGCTGACTGAAACCTGTCCAGTGGCTGTGAGACCAGGATGTCTACGCCAGCATTGCACCATTTCGTTACCTGGAAAGACATAGCATTACACCGGTGACCTGCTGGGCCTTTTTTAAGAATTCGTCAGTGTGGGAGGGGGTGGGGCATCTACAGAAAGGAACCACACCATACTAAGTGTGGAAATCTAGGGGAAAGATGGTTGTTGATGACAAAATGTTTGGTGTGGTGTCGTATCGTAGGCATCTGGGGAGTCTCCACCAGTTTCCCACCCTGGCCTGGGACTGCATTTCATGCGATTTATGAAAGAAATTTTTTGACATACAGAAGTCCAAAAGAAGTCCAGAAAGCATATACTTATACGTTTCATCTGCAAGCAACTATCATGTATATTGACACTGAAAGTACTATTTAATACCAAACATAATTTACCTACCTGTTGCAAAGATTCATGGACTTCGGTTGATTTATCCAAATTATGTTTTCTTTCATCAAACTTCTTGTTTAAATCGTTATGTATGTCTTGGAGTTCACTACATTTTGTCTCGATAGAATGTGAGTGACAATTGTCATTTTTTATCATTTTTTCTCCTCTTTTGCACAACTCTTCAGGTTTTCGACTGCATCCTGCAAATTAGGGAAGCAACGAATTAAAATCATTTTTCTTTTACAGTTTGCCGTAATACCTGATTTTTAAATCAAACCAGGCCGCCCAGAGTTTTATGGGCCCCCAGGAAACACCCAGTTTGGGAGCCCTAAACATCCCCTTTCCCCCAAAAAAGTTGCAAGAACAAGGTAAATTGTAAAAGAAGGAAATAATATTCCGATATACACTGGCATTATACATAGATATCTTATATACACTAGATAGTGCATCTAATTATTCCGCTGCAATTCAAAAATTGAAGCCGTGATTGCAGACTCAGGATATCCCCATGAATTGAGAAGACTCGTATGTTTTCTATTTCTTAAACAGGGAACTTAAACATTACTTAGTTAAACCTATTCCAAATACAAATGATGATTTTGATGTCCCACAATATTTATTTATTTTATTTATTTATTTATTTTATTTATTTAATTCGCCTTGTACATATTACAGTGGCAGGGAATCCGCAACAGCGTTTGCCAATTACTGCGGGCCCGAATAACTACAAATTACAACAATACATATATTAAACAACAAAGAACAGTACTAACAGTTCCTACATACAGCACAATAATGACGCTGTGAGGCTACGAACAGAATTACACTTAGGACATATAGTTTTATAACTACGAGGATCCTCAACATCGTAACACGAGTACGAAGAGGAAATATAGTACTTAAACATTGCCGACTTAAATGACGAAAGACTATCCGTATTCAAATTAAGTTCATCAACGAGATGGTTCCATATTCGAGTTGCCCGAATCATGAAAAATCTTTGGTATGTTACCGTTTTGCATTTTGGCACGACGAACTTAGGACGGTTATTGGTGGAGGATCTAGTCGATCTGGAAGTGCGGATAGTTGGATGTAGTGATGCTTCGATGATTACTAGTTTGTGAGTTATTTTATAAAAGAGTACCATGTCTAGATATTCATGCCAATAGCAGATCGGTAAGAGTCCTAAAGTTTGAAGTCTGGTGGTGTAGTCAGTAGAGGAGGAGAATGGAAGACTAAGGATGTATTTGGTTGCTCTTCTTTGAGTTCGTTCGAGGTGGCGTATTAGTTTGGTGGATTGTGGTGCCCATATTTGGGTAGCGTACCCCAGGTGTGGCCGAACTAGTGC